TCAAAGCAGTTACAGCAAATGGCCATCATCCCACTGCTTCCAGATGACAATGAAGGAAACATTACCCCTGAGAACATCTATGAATCTTGAAGGAACAGCAGAGAATGCCAGACCTCGTATAATACGGAGAGAAAGAACGGCCAACCTTTCAAAATGGATGGAACCTCTGGAGAACCAGGTTACTTAGAAGCCACTTAATAAACTTTGGACCGGAGATGCAGAATCAAGGTTAAGCTAAGAAAATGGATTTTTCATGTCAACACAATTCTTTGCGAGTGCGGGAAAGAACAGACAACGTCACACCTACGTCAGTGTGTCTCCATCTTCCTCATCATGTACTATGGAAGATCTGGTGTTATCTGCCCCCAAATGCTCTTGATATAATCCACTATTGGGTGAAAATTATCGGCATATTTCTTAATTGTACTGAGGTGCATCTGATATGAACAAAGGAGAATTAAAGAAGAAAGACTGGAACAATTGCACTGAGCTCAGAGGAGGCGGAAAGATATTATTCTCCGCTCCGAGAGCGAATGAGTGAGCGCTGGCTTCTCTGTACACAACGGACAGGGAGGCTGCACTGCCTTCATCCTAAAACCGGCCATTTACCAGCCATCCTCCTCCGTCGGTGTCCATGTCACAAAAGACCCTTAGCGGCTGGCAGTCCGGTAGATAGATGGTGTGCCAGCCGCTCAGGAACTCCCCCTTGCTCAGCAGCTCCTTGCAGTTCCTTGGCCCTGGGGGAACATGAAAAAAACGGCAACATGAAATACCACAGTGGCAAAGAAAAAGAATGTGGTCACCAAGCAATGGCACCTAGGTGGAGCGCCTGCCAAGCTCTTCACTACATTCCGACAAACGCTGGCACACGTGTGTATTATTTCACCTACTAGCCAACGGCTGTTAGTCACAGTGGCTAACTCAGGATTCAAGGCAGTGCGTCTCTCAATGCCAGTTGCTGGTGTCGTATAGCAGGCTAAGAACATTGGAGAAGGGCTGGACACACACCCCTTTGGACTGCAGAGGACCTCATCAACTCTTGCTCCCTAATCCTGAAACTAGCTTTCTTTTTCTCCCTGTGAAATAAAGTCCCCTTGCTCCCTCTAGTGGAAATTTTAAAACAAGAAGTACCGGTACGTAAAGTATTTTCTGGATGCAAGGGGTATCTTGGGCTATTGATATTGGGATGAAAGTTATTGGACTTTTTCTTTCTTTCTTTCTTTCTTTCTTTCTTTCTTTCTTTCTTTCTTTCTTTCGCCTTGTTTTGTGTCTCTTGTTGGGATGTTTAGAGAACCAGACTTTAAAAGAACTGAATGCCCACAAATAATTGAATGCAATGGTGGCATTTACCCTTGCAGGCCCCTGCTTGTTTTTTCCTCACAAAGGCTCACGTCACTTTCTCTTCTCGCTGCCACCAGTGGACTACTTCAATCCACAATATAAATTACGTATATGAGAACACTTGTGAACAGAAACAGAACTTATTTATTGAAGTAAAGCAGATAGAATAACAGAAGTTTCTCAGATACACATTATACATAAGCAAATAATCAAAAGTCCTCTCAGTACATACTTTTTGCAGCTTGTAATATCATTACCATCTTCCCTACCTACCCTGTTTTCCCGAAAATAAGACTAAACCTGAAAATAAGCCCTAGTAGGATTTTGCAGGATGCTGGTAATATAAGCCCTACCCTCAAAATAAGCCCTAGTTACGGGAAAACCCACCCTCCACCCTTGTGCAGCAACCAGAAGATGACATGAGTGTATTTGAATAAATGTAGATTTTTGTACATGAAAAAAAACATTCCTTGAAAATAAGCCCTAATGCATTTTTGGAGGAAAAATTAATATAAGACCCTGTCTTATTTTTGGCGGGGAAACAGGGTATTTTCCTAACCATCTCTCTCTCTCTCTCTCCCCCTCGTACAGTATCTGTCCCTTCTCTCTCTGACTAACCAGCCCTATCTGACTCCTCCTTCTCCAGCCAAGCCTCATGTAGCCGCTGACTCCACCTCTCCAGCCCTCTCATAGGTTCATGCAAATCAGCTCATGAATATGAATTGCATGAGTGACCTGGGCGATCTCCGCAGCAACTATACCCCACTGTCTCTTATGAAGTCTATGTAGTCTAATTTATAAGTCTGAAGAAGTTCTACAAAAGCCTGGATTAAAATTCAGCAATTAGTCTTTAGAGTGCCATGGGTTGTTTTGTTTTTGTTTTCTTTTCTTTTGTTTTTGCCTGATACATTGAAAGCTGTATTTCATCTCACACCTTGCAAAATTAGGTTGTTGCGAGGGTGCAAAATATGGCAAAAATGAATGAATGAATGAATGAATGAATCCCTTAATCAAATGTTTTTAAGCAATCTCAAATAGTTGAATGGGGTGGGGCTGTGAAGTGCTGCTTTATGCATTTGGCTTCCCGGGGCCTGCCACTCACCCCACAGCCTGCAATTTGCCCCATTCCTGCATTAGGGAAAGAGCAGGAAAGCTTTCAATGTGTTACTGGAGTGGCCCAAAACTCTTTGTACAGAAAGTGGCAGTAACAAGCAGCTACTGTTCTGTGTCCCAAGAGGATAACAGGAGAACAGAAGATAACTATACAAATCAATACAGCAGTTTTATCTGTAGCTGAAACAGGGAATGTCATCCTCCTCCTGATGTCACAGACTGCAGCTCCCATCAGCACTAGGCAACTGTAAGACTATTAGTTTCTATAGCTACCTCTACATGTCTTTTTTGCTTTTAATACTTTTGTTTTAGACCCCCTTCTTTTGGTTTAAGCAATCTGATAGCAGCATGCCTGTGGAGCTGCTGAGACAGGATGGAGCTGATGGAGCTTAATAAACAGGCAGACTGCAAGACCTTTGCAAGAGTTGATAAGGTGGTTGGAAACTGTCCCTGGATGATGCAATCATCCAGGGACAGTTTAAAGTTGATCTGCAACTTGTGATTAATTTATCTGCTGATTGGAGAAGACCTCCTCTGATGTGGTGGTTGGGGTGGGTCATGATGTGATACGAGATAAGGGCTTACAGCTCATGTTCAGCTGCTTTTTTCCTTCTGCTTCAACCCCCTTTCCCCTTTCTGTAGTCCTTCTTTAATCTTTGCTGCCTGCTCTGTATGTCTGTTAAACTCCGAATAAATGTTAGAAGACCACTCAGTGTGTTGTGACCATTTCCTGAATCAATGAACTACTGTGGTTATCCATAAACACAACAGCAACATAGCCAAAAGTAAGAGATAATGGGAATTTCATCCTAAGAATATTACAAGGGCCAAATGTCCTGTGTCTCTCCACTAGAGGCTTTCTTGCATTGGTTGTGTATAGCAGTGGTTCTTAACCTTGGGTTACTCAGGTGTTTTTGAACTGCAACTCCCAGAAACCCCAGCCAGCACAGCTGGTGCTGAAGGCTTCTGGGAGTTGCAGTCCAAAAACACTTGAGTAACCAAAGGTTAAGAACCACTGGTGTATAGCAGTGATCTCCAACCTTGGGCCTCCAGATGTTCTTGGACTTCCACTCCCAGAAATCCTGGCCAGCAGAGGTGGTGGTGAAGGGTTCTGCAAGTTGTAGTTCAAGAACATCTGGAGGCCTAAGGTTGGAGACCACTGTTGTATAGGATAGCATGTAATACAGATAGCCAACAAGTAAGTCATATCTGGAATAATTTCTTTGGTTCTGTAGGTTCTGTTGGGCTTCTACTCCAGCATGTCCCAACATTGACTGTGATAGCTTGTGCTGATGGAGACATCTAGAGGGCTATACTTTGCTCACAACAGTTTATAGCAAATTAAAATATCTGCAAAATTAAACAACACTGCTTGGAGTACCTGGAAAGGGAAAAAAGCCAAGGAAAGCATCACTGATGCACCCAGATAAGACCGGTGCCCAAGGATGCTCATCATCACAGATCCCATAGCCACTTCCCCAAGGAGTGTCCAAATGTCTAGGAAGTCTTGTTAACCTGTAGCCACAAACCAATTTAAGAAGTTTTCATCTATTCCAGGAGCAGCTCTTTTGTCCAGCTAAGGAATCTGAATTGCCTACTTTCATTCACTGCCATTTGGGAACCACCTCCACCCTATACTGTATAATGAGGTCAGATTTTTATGGATATTTCCACTTATTGTGAAAAGCAAATTTTAAACTATATGTTATCAATGAATGAAAGAAAAACTGTGGAATCTCCAAGTCTGCATTAAAGAAAGAACATTTGCTTCAAAACAAACAAGCAACTCGCAACTTATTTGTTTCCTTCTTGCTGCAGTTCTTAGGTTCTAAGCAACCAGAGTAAACTGAGGCATTAGCAGAGAGGAGACATATTTTAAGAAGTATGAATCTAGAACCTTACCAGTTTGGCAAAGAGAAAGGCGGTCTGCTGCATCACCTGGTATTTAAACAAACAAACAAACAAACAAAATTATTAGCAAGAGCATAACAATCCGATAGTCCCAGCTCTGATTCTGTGATCCAAGAATGCTCTGAGGAGGACCCAGATGATGATGTGAGGCTGAAGCCATACTTCTAAAGGGGACAGCATTTCCAGACATGTAACTGGATTCAGTTTGGACAATCGGAACGGTGTCCTCACCTTGTAGGCATTAAACTGGCAGCTGGGACGTAGGCTTAATGCCAGGGCCAGCTGTTGGTTACAGTCCTTATCTTATCTTCAAGCTTCCATAGATATGTCAAAAGAAAAACTGTTGCTACCCTTTGAATTTGAATGGCTGTTGTGTGCACGGTTTTCAAAGTCCACTTTTTTCTAAGTGTGGCTGGCTGGTATTTCCTGCTTCTAACAAAATGAGCTCTAACCGCTGAAAATTTAGGGGAGAGTAAAAATGTTAGCTCCAGACCAAAAGAATGCCTCCAGAGACACGGAAGTGCAGACAGATCATATAGCAGGCACGCTGCCAACTAGCATTTCAAAGGACTTCAAAAGTCCCTTCAGCATGTGGCAAAGACAAGAGAAGGGATGGGCCCTTTTGATGCTTGAGGAGAAAGGCAAGATGCCTTTTACCCCACGCCCCCACCACTGTCACCACCACGGGTAAATCCAAAACTTAGAAAGGATCAGTTTTTGACTACAACTCCCAGAATCCCCAAGCAAACATGCTCATATCTCTTTTTCACATGGGCACACACAGCAGCCTTCCCCCCTCCCCCATCCGTTAGACTTGCCCCAGAGAGGTGGTGGAGAGCTGCCCTTCAAGAAATACAGATCCAATATGAATGTCCCTTTTGGCCCTAGAAGCTCATAGATCCACAGAATTATAATTTAAAGGAGTTGGAAGGGGACTATAAGGCTATCTAGTCTGACCCCAAGCAAAATGCAGGAACCCAAACCAAAGTCTATCTGGCCAAATTAACAGCATGGGTTGGATTGGGGGAGGGATTCTCATTGAAAGATTAATGAAGATGCCTCCCCTTCCTCAGTCCATGAGCTGTGCGTATCCTTGAGCGTGTGGACTTTGTGTGTGTAGTACTTTGGAGGACAGGTCAAGTATTTGGGTGCAAGGGGTCTCTGTGATATTTTTTTTGCTAGAAACAAACAGAGCAGCCCTCCTGGGATTCTTCCCCTGGAGACAATCACTGCTAGGGTTACCTTTTTCTCCTTTGGGTCCCGGTTTCCCAGGCGGCCCCATATCTCCTGCAAGAGAGACAAACACACACCGTGATGGCACAGTGGACATAAGAGGTCAACAGTGAAGACAATGAGGGGGACACTTGGAAGAAGAAATGAGTGACAGCTCAAAGATGGAGCCTGTCCTTCCCATGGTGAAGGTCTCTAAATTGGCCACAGAAACCCTTTTGGGATGGAGTCAAACTCCAAGGGGGCTGGGCCATCCCTTTTCTCTCCCCTCTTCGGCCACTACCTTTTCTGTTTATTTTTGCATTCCTGACACCTTTCTCCCACCTCTCTCTTTCCTTATCAACCTCCTTCCCTCAAGGGCTGCTGACAGGAAGAGGCCAGACTCCTCTTTTCAGATATTGGGATGGGACACCAGCCATTGCGCTTCTGGAATCAGCCCAAGCACCACATGAAATAAGGTTACGGGTCGTAGGCTGCCGAAATGCAGTCAGACAATAAGGCCTCCAAATGCAGGGCTGTTCTCTGGCTGCCTTTGAAGAACCAACTATCAAGGAAGGCATGTAGCCATCTTAGGATGGAATGACTGGTACGAAACCACTGCCCTTTTACTCAGCCTATCCTTTTTTTTCTTTAACACTTTTTAAAATTAATTTCATCTCTAAAGAATAAAAAGGCAATCGACCATATTACAAATAATAAATACAAAGTGATTCCCCACAATTCTCCAAATCACATATATACCATTCCCTGTCGCCATTTAAAGAAATATCAACCAACAGTCTAAATTTCTTTTCAAACCACATGTCTCAAAGTCAATTTTGTCGGCATATTTTAATAATGGCTTCCAATTTTCAGTGAATTTACTGTGGCTTATTTCTCCTCTATGTAATCTAACTTTATTAGTCTTTTTTCCCCATCAGCAATGTATGCCATATTTTACTTGTAAATGCTTGCAATGAGAGATCTTGGACTTTTTTCCAATTTTTAGCGATTTCAGACTCAGCATATCCCACCACCACTCCAGCATGGAAAAGTTACTTTTTGGATTACATCAACCAGAATCCCCCAGCCAGTCTCTCTCTTTCTCTCTCTCATTCGCTCTCTCTCTCTCTCTCTCTCTCTCAGCCTATCCCACCACCACTCCAGCATGGAAAAGTTACTTTTTGGATTACATCAACCAGAATCCCCCAGCCAGTCTCTCTCTTTCTCTCTCTCATTCGCTCTCTCTCTCTCTCTCTCTCTCACTCACTCTCTCTCTCTCTCTCACACACACACACACACATGCACACACACGCACACGCACACACATGCACACGCACGCACAGACACATGCTTTCTACCTTTTAGGCCCTGCACCCCGGGTGCTCCTTTTTCTCCAGGGCTCCCTGCTGCTCCTGGAAAGCCAGGGCACCCTTGAAGGACGGCCAGCTTCTCATTGCCAGAAAGACCCACAATCTTCACCTCTGCAGAAAGACAAAGTCATCGTGGAAATCTGCATTTTCCTTCCAGCTGTTGAGCCATTAGATATTCCTTGATATGTAACTCTAATTAATCACAAGCGTAGCCACTACCCACCCACCCTCCCACCTTCTTTTTGTTTGGCAAGCTCTGTTTTGCTTCCAAATTAAGGGCTTCTTGTAAAAGTATCCGAAAGGTGCTGTTTGAATAATGACTGTAGTAACTGAGCCCTGTGAACGGTGCAGATGGCACAGTTTTTCATTGTTTGTTGTTTAGTATTTACACACTGAAAACAGGTCTATGGGGAAACCAAAAGTCTCTGGCTATTCTTACTCTTGTACTGCAGTTAACACACTCACTGATGTTTGTTTTGTAGAGCTTTAGACAATTGTTGGACTACAATGCCCCCAAACCACTCAGTCAGCATGGCCAATTTTGAGCTGAAGCATCACCTATCTTGGGTAAATGGAAACCATCCTTTTGCTGGGTGGAAAACAGTGAGAGCGACCCTTTGGAATCAATGTCCATCTTTGCCAGTTGTTTGGAAAAGTTTCTCAGAGAAACAGAGCAAACTTGTCTATTATGTTCTCACTTCATGCTGAGGGCCTGCCGATTACGGCAGGGGGCACAACTCAGTGGCAGGGTAAAATCTTTGCTTGCAAAAGATCCCCCACTCATTCCCCAAGCATCAGTGGGTTTAGTCTGAAACTGCAGAGAACCCACTGCCAGCTGGCCAAAACAACTGTTAAGTTAAACAGATCAGTGTCTTTAATTTAGTGCAATGCTGGTTTCCCTCTTCAGTCACCATCAGAAAACAATTACTGTATTTTTCCATTTATAAAATGACACTTTTTCCTAAAATAATTAGAGGAAAAATTGAGGGTTGTTTTATACACAGAAATAAGGGGGGAGGGATCAAAGTGCTTTGATTCCTGCTTTCCCCCTCGATGTTTTGTAAAAGGTGTAGGGGGAAAGCAGCTTTTTGTAAAAAAAAAAGGGTAGGGGGAAAGCGCTTTGATCCCTGCCTTCCCCATCCACTTTCTTGTAATGGAAGAAATTTTGGGTTAGAAAAGTGGGGGGGGGGCTTATACATGGGAGTGTCTTATACACAGAAAAAATATGGTAGTCTCCTACCTGGGCATGTGCTGGGAACATCTGTTGCTTCCATCCAGGCAGAACACCAGAGCAAGGCAGCAAAAACACACCAACCAAGGTCCAAATCCATCTCTTCTTGGTCCCTCTTCACAACTGAACACTTCTGCTTCGTCTCCTACTCTCTCTGTGCTCGATGGGAACATCAAGGTGGCTTATCTTGAAGAGCAGGCTGAAGATTTCCCACCATTGTTCCAAGTGACAAAGGGAGCAACCATAATCTCCAAAGATACCCAGCTTCCCATTTCCTGGAGACTATTGGAGAGGGTGAGGGGAGGGAGGTCCAGATCGTGCCTCATGCAAAGAAGCACAACCGCAAACCAAGGACAGCTTTTGTTTCCCTTACAGGAAACCACAGGCACTGTACACCTTGCCTAAGATTACTGTTTACAGATGGTTTATCTAATTCCCTTTTGCCTGCCTAAGGAGTTTTATGCAATTGTGTCCTTCTGCACATACACAACAAGAATCCAGAAATGTCATTAGTGTTGGTTACTAATAGTTTGTCCCTTTGGGTGCTCCAACTCGAAGCATGATTGTATAATCCCACAGTGTGAAGGGGACAAGGTGGTGAATCCCCCTGCGGGTGTGCCTTTCCCCACCCATAACAGCTGAGGGTTATGAAACGACAACAGTGACAGTGGAGGTGAAAGAACTAACAAACAAAATCCCACCAAGACAAAAGAGACAATCCACACCAGCTGTGTGGGAAAAGGGGATCCAGGAAGGGAGAGGGTGGACAAGGTAAAAGGGGGGAAAAGAAAGGTGGGAGAAGAGGAAGATCAAAGCAAAGGTTGTAAGGAGCAGCAAAAGGTGGTGCAAGAAAAGTAAGACGTCTAGAAGGACTCTATGTGGGAAGAAAGAGTTGAGGAAGAAGAACGGAGGAAGTCCCAGGACCCCAAGCTAGCTCCCAAAACTGGAAGAGGGGTATGCTGGAAATTCCCTGCTTGTGAGGTGGCCCTCAGACATTCCCACCAACCCCCTAGGAAACCTTCCCTGTGAGGAGAGAGAGAAAGAGAGAGAAAAGGGACAAGAGGGAAAGGGTTAGGGTTAGGAAAGAGGCTGGGAAAGAGAGAAAGTCCTCTTCCCAATGGCCAGCTCCTCAGATGGAGGGCCAGAGACAGGCAGAGGTGCAGAAGGAGGCCCCTGGATTCGTTTGGGATGTCACCAGAACTGAGATGGGAAGAATTTGGGATTCCCATCCTTGCTGTGGGAATTGATGCCTTGGATCCCATGGCCACTCCAACATGAGGAAGACGAAGGGAGGCTGAGGGGGAAGTAACCGCTTCAGGTCCTGAGGAGAGGGATGAGAATAGTCCTTTGGGCATCCGTGATATCAGACTGTTAGATATGGAACCGTTTGAGGTTGTTGTTGAGAAAGCACCAGCTGTGCATAATAAAAAGTTTTTCATTTAAGCAAGAAGCATCTCCGGTTTGGTCCTTTGGGCATCTGAGGTGATATCAGACTGTTAGATATGGATCCGTTTGAGGTTGTTGTTGAGAAAGCATCCGTTGTGCATAATAAAAAGTATTTCATTTAAGCAAGAAGCATCTCCGGTTGCCATGATCTTGAAATGCCCCATCAACTGACATTTGTGGAAGATTTAATTGCCATTATCTTAAATTCACAAGTCTCCAGCACTTTCCCTATGTTTTTCATCTTTTTTCCCTTACCAGTGAAAATCCATGAAAGCAAAAAAGGATGCCCATACAACGCCTTTTGACTGTGCATAGCAGGAGTCGTCAATCCAGGAGTAGCTGGCATCTTCCATTTGTCATTCTGCTCCACATTTGCAATATTAGGGGCCAACCATCTGCAACGATGATGGGAGTCCTGGAGACTTTGGGCTTCTCCGGATGTCTATGTCGCCTTCCCCATAGCACCGTCGTTCAGCGAAGCGCCAACTTTTATTGCCATTCTGAAAGGTTGAAATGCTTCTCCCAGGCCAGCATCTTGTTGCAAAACTGAAGAGTAGAAAAGTGACTGGGTAAACACCTCCCTGCAGGTTCCTTGTCACATGACCAATTGCACAGCCAGTCTTGGCACTATCTCTGATCAAGGACAGGAAATAACAAGAGGGGGATTCCCTTGAATGTGCAGGGGATTTCCATCTGTTATATCCACTCCCTCATCCGAGACAGAGGAGATCTTATTTCTCACTTGCACCCAGCACTTCCCATGACTAGCTGGGTGTGCTGTGTTCTCCCAGGGAGGAACAACATGATCAACAGGAACTGCAGGATAGCACAGTAGTTTTGGCATCTGGCCGAGGAGCCTGAGGCTGGGAGTTCAGTTCCCTACTGTGCCTCCTTAATAGGAGCTGGACTTGATGATCAATAGGGTCCCTTGAAGCAGTTTTAAGATTGCCCAGTCCTGGGAATGACTGTTAATTGAATATTTCGATTAGTCCTAAGGACTGGGAGGACCGGGAGGTTTGTTCATAAGCAGGAGGAAAAGAACATGGGATATTTAAAATAATAATAAATTAAGAAACAGAACAAATACAAATGTGGCAAAAAGCAAAATGGACAGCTTTGTCCACTCCTACTCAATCTTTGTATCTATACATAGAAGCTGAAAAAGTATCAGAAATCTGTTTACTTTAAGGAAGATACTAACACCAGGAAACGTACTTGGTTTCACCCAATTTAAACACTCATAAGTCCCGTCTTCACACTTTTCCTTCTCTTCCACTCCCATTTGCCCTTCCTGCCACTGATTTCTGTCTCCCAAAATTGCTCTGGACTGCAACACCGAGAACCACCCAAAATAGCAGGGTCAATAGAGATACAAGAGATATTCATCGGCTTAAGCGGGGGAATGGGTAGCGGGCATTTCACCTTTCTGCTTCTAGCTCTGACCATTTCAGAATGAGAGCTAAAACCCTTTAATAATCATTCCAGTAAGGCCAATATAGAGATACATAGCTATCCTTTCTGTAAGCTGGGATCTCAACGGTAGCCATGCAAATTGTCACGTTTCTATTTCGGATTGTTTTAAAGATATTTAAAGGTAAGAGGACTACACTTCCCAGGATCTCCACGACCATCTTTGGACTGCAGCTCCCAGAATCCTCCAGGGGGCATGGCTGATCAATATCAAGCCAATCAATCACTATCAATGCAAAACATGTGTCTAGCTCTGAGTAGCTTGGTTTGAGTCAAAACAGCAGTACAAAACACATCAAGCCAATCAATCGCTATCAATGCAAAACATGTGTCTAATTCTGAGTAGTTTGGTTTGGGAAGGGGACAAGAACTGCCAGAATATCCCAGCCAATATGACCAGATTATATAAACCCTAGCTACATATTTATTTATATTAGGAGCTCAATAGTACTCATAGAAAATTCCATACTCCTAGTTTTTCCTGTTGGAGGAATGACCATTTCAGAATAGTCAGAATCTTGCAACCTGTGCTGTCAGTTGAAGCGCAATCCACCACGTGGTTTGAGTCAAAACAGCAGTACAAAACAGCATCTGTACAAAACTTCGTCTTTTAAGCGTTTGACATTTTGGAGATCTTTTGAAGTGGACAAACACACAAACTTTCTAATAGATTCATGAAAGGAATGTCCATTTCCATTGGATGAGGAAGCCTTTCACTCTTACGGAGTTAGAGACATAGAATCACAGAATAAGTGAATTGGAAGGGGTTTATAAGGCCATCAAGTCCAAACCACCACCACCACCCCCTGCTCAATGCAGGAATCCAAATCAGAGCAGATCGGACAGCAAGCTGTCCAATTTTTTTCTTGAATGACTCCAGTGTTGGAGCACTCATCACTTCCTGAGATAATTGGTTCCGTTGTCATACTGTTCTAACAGTTAAGAGGTTTTTCATGATATTCAGCCCAAATTTCGCTCCCTGTAGCTTGAGCTAATTATTACATGTCTTGCACTCTGAGATGATTGGGAACAGATCCTGCCCCTCCTCTGGGTGACTACCTTCCAAGTATTTGAAAAGTGCTACCATGTCTCCCCACAGTACTCTAGAAGAGGCTTAACCACTGCTGAATAGAGGGGGGCTGAAGAGAGGAGGAGCTGCACAATTTATACATAAATTCTTGAAACAGTTTATACATAAGGTAGTCACGATAGCCAGCTGCAATCATGTCACCAATTGTCATGTGGAAGATGGAGCCGTTGTCTTTCTTACAACTCAGGAGGATAGGACCAGAAGGAATGGATTCATGTTACAAGCAAGGAGACTTTGACTTAACACTTGAAAGATGCCCTTAACCATGAGAGCCATTTGTCAAGGGAATTTACATGGTGGACTTTCTTTCCCTAGATATTTTAAAGCAGAAGTTGGATGGCCACCTATCAACTTCTAGAAATCTAGGTGTGGATTTCTAGCACTGGCAAGGGCCCCCCCAAAGATCCTGCACTTGATTATCCTTGGGATCCCTTCCAGCTCAATGATTCTGGGATCCCTCACCACTGACTGTGCTTGTTCAGGTTGATAGGAATTGCAGACCAACATTGTCTCAAGGGTCAGTGTCTCCCAACTCTACTCTAGTGATTATTATTATTATTATTTTCTTGCAATGATGTGTACATTTCTTTTTGGCTTCTCCAGCAGTCTACCAAGCTCGTGATCCTAACAAAAAAGGAGATAAAATTAGTCCGGCATGAGTTGTTTTTGAGAAACCCATGCTGAGTCTTAGGACTTACACTGTCCCTTTCTAAGTGCTCCCAGACTGACTGTTAAATGGTCTGTTCTAGAACCTTTCCTGGTATTGATGTCAAGAAGATTGGTGGTTGCCCAGATCTCCTTTCCCCTTCTTTTGGTAGAGGGGAAGGACATTTGCCCATCTGCAGTTTTCGGGGACCTCACCTGCTTTGCAAGAATTTTTGAAAACAGAGAATCTGAGATTACAGCTGCAAGTTATTTTGGTACCTTTGGATGGAGTTCATCTGGCCTGGAGAGTTAAATTCATATAAGGTAGCTAGGTGATCCCATACCATCTCCTTTTCTATCTTGTGCAGCTGTCCTCTCATTTCCTCCTATATTTGCTCCCACCAGCTTGGGCACTATTTTCCTTTTCTTAAACAGAACACAACACAACACAACACAACACAACACACACACACACACACACACACAGAGAGAGATAGGCATTAACAGCTCTACCTTCTCTCTGTTGCCCCTTAGTAATTCCCCATCCTCTCCATCCATCAGACCAAACATTTCCTTGTTCTTCCTTTTGGTTCAGATGTACATTAGTTGAAAAATCCCCTTTTATTCATCTTTTTAAAAGCTCTTACATGTTTGAGCTCATTTTGAGCTTTAGCCTTCCCACCCTTACCTGTACAAATATTGGCAACCTCTTTGTACTCTTCCTTAGGGATGTGCCCCCTTTTCTACTTCTTATAGATGTCCCTTTGAAATTGTAGCTCATCTGGTAGCTCTTTATGCAGCCTGGTTTCTTTAGATGTCTCCCACGTAGGAACCCCACAATCCTCACAGGAATTTTTATTGATTGTACTTTCTGCCTCTCACTCTTAAGACACTCCTTTCCATAATCGATTCCCTTCTCTTTGGGTTATTCTGTCCATGGGATCTAACTCAGTATTTCTTTGAGCTTATTGAGATCGGTTTTCCTAAAATCTAGAGTGCAGGTTATACTATTCTCATCTCACAAGAGAACATGGCCACTTTCACCTAGATTTCCCACTGTTTGCATATTATTGAAATTCTTCTCTGCTAGTGAGGACCAGCTGTAGGATAGTTAGTCCCATTGTTGCTTCTCCTACTTTCTGGAAGATGGAATTGTCAGCAAGTGAAGAATTTATTGGATCTTACACTACTAATGGAGTTGGGCATCCATCAAACAGCAGCTGGGCAGGGTGCAATTAGACAGGCATTTAGCCTACTGTTGGGTACGCTGTGAGGATGGGTTGGTTCACTCCCTTTTTCCAGTGATCACACCACATAATTACTGGAGCAAACCAAATTGTCTCCAGGGTGTTCCTATCCACACTTTTCTGAACTCATATCAGGAGTTTCTACTTTTTTAGTGCAAGTAGGATTGCTGTGGTTTAAATCAACTGTGGGCAGTTGCTCAACCATCTCTTTAAAACAAAGCAAAGAAAAGTGCTTTTTAAATAAGTGATCTGCCAATATCCTGAAGTGGCTCTCTTAATCCACTTAAGGATATCAAAAATTCCTACCAGAAGGAGCTCATGGCATATAGCAGTGGACCTCAACCCTGGGCCTCCAGATGTTATTGGACTTCAACTCCCAGAAATCCTGGCCAGCAGAGGTGGTGGTGAAGGTTTTTGGGAGTTGTAGTCCAAGAACATCTGGAGGCCCAAGGTTGGGGACCACTGGCATATAGCATCTCTGCCAAACACAAGCAACCCTACTTACCCTACACCACTCCAAAAGAGCCTGTGCAGACAAGCCCTCAGAGAGCTTTGGCTTGCACACAGTATAGGAATCTCATTAAATATAGTGTTTATATTTTCTTTTAGTGCTCCTATTTGCATTTAGTGGATGTATCCGAATTTTGCTTCCCACAATGCCTGCATGCCACTGTGCAAAATCTTTGTGATCCATCTGTGCTGTAATGCCAGATAATTCGGAGCAGCTTGACATTGAATGGCCAACTATGATTCGTGAGCTTTCTAAAGAGTGGATTGTGGAAGAATCAGAAACTGCTAACACTATAAGGTTGCTATAGGCTAACTCAGATGCCTGTGTTTTGACTCTCCTTGGACAAATGCTTTATGTGGAAAATCATGATGAATGTCTCGTAGTCCAGAATTCACACTATTGCTCACAGAGCATCAGGTGACAAAGCTATGGCAGCACCACTCCTGTAATCAAAATTCTCCCCTCTGTACAAAGCACAACACACAATACACTCCACAAATATTTCATTTTATTTTATCTGAGAGGTCCCTCCTCCTCTTTTTCCTCCGTTGTCTGTTATTTCACAGCTCCTTCAATGGGGCAGCTCAGATGTGGACTCTTTGGGATTCATTCTTAACAGCCAGTCCAAAACTGGTTGTATTTCTTGTAAATTGTCAGTTTTTGCTCCATCATTATTTCTGACATCAGAAAGCCGGCTTCGGAGTTTACGTGCAAGAATGTGTGCAAATGAGACTCTTTGCTTCTTGTGCAAAACATTTAACATCAAGACTCAAATGTCTTGATGACTGCACAAGACGTCCACCTTTTAAAGTGACCTCGCTAAAGAAAATGCATGGGAAAGAAAAGGGTATACAGTGAAGCAGCTCGCGTTGCATCCAGTACGCCATGTTTGGTGCAGGGCTTAGGAACAAATAAACAAGGGTGAGCAAGAGAAGCAACTACAAGCCAGCAGGCCACCTGTTTGGAAGGGGCTCACAATGTCTTTCAGAGGATATACTGAAATACTAGCAAAATATCTTTCAAAACCTAAGCAGTTGTGAGCAGCTCTCTCCTGCACATGAGTTGGTTTAGCATTACATGCAACGAGGAGATCAAGAAGAAAAACAAAATTCAACCAAGTGGGCAATTATCAGTCAGAGCCAGAGGGTAGTGAGAAAAGAAATAAATTGTGTTTTGTAGGTTTAAAGTAAAAAATAAATAAACCAAAGCAAGTTTACATGGAAAAAAATAGCAGCCTCCAGTTGGTTGATGAGTTCTCAACCCCGCCATTACACATACCCACTGATGAAGCAGACAAGAGTCCCTAAGGCTTGAAAGTGCCAATAAAAAAGGTCTTATACATCGTTGTGCCATTTCTGCAGCAAGTTGAAAGTCTGAAGGCCCAGACATCCAAGCCAAGTAGCAACACCCATGTGTAGCAATGGGGCTGCATAGGTTTAGTGCAGATCATCTGCTTCAGCAGCTCTCTCTGAAGCAAAGAGAGTATCCTGGCTCCATGCAGCCAGTCCGGGCACCTCTTCTCCAGCTCCTCTTCCCCACAAGAGAAACACGTCAAGACAGCTCCCTGGACACCGGCCGTCAGATCCTAATACAACAGAACAAATGAGAGGGGAAGAGGAAATCAACAAGCCAAAGGATAAAGAGAAAAGGTGTCCTTGGTTAGCCAGAATGGTATCTATATATACTTTACCTCTTTTTTTGTGTGTGTGCGTGCCTTCCTCAGTACAGGAAACAAGAATTACAACTTGGAGAACAAAGAAGGTGCAACGTGAGAATGACCAAATGTACTAAGATTAAATACATGCTGAGTCCACTTTCACCATTTCAATCATTATTTGCAAAAAACAATTTACATCTGAAATTCAAAGTTCCCGTCAACAGGACAACAATTTGGCATCTTGCTGGCTTTCATTTTGGCAGGAGTCTGGCTTGAGAAGCTGTCAACTGACAGATCTGATGTCTCAAATAGATAACCACTGCCACCACATGCCAGCTTTCAAACAGAGCTCTCAAATAATGTAAAAACACAGAATGCTAAATAAAACCAGCTACAAAGCAACAAATATGTATATCAATCATTCAAAACTTCTGAGAGTTCTCTTGGAAATATTTTACATGAATATTTATGCAGAAGGAGAAGAACTGGATGGTAGCGTGATCATCACATGTCTAAGATGACCATCCTGAAGTTACAAGTTGGTATTTTTTTAAAAAACTTTGTTTCCTATGTGTTGGGCAGGTGCTGTATTTATGACTCACTGGATTTATGGGACTTATTCCCTAGGAATTATATTTTAGTCTTCAGGAGTAATTCCATATCCACTGTTCCTGGTGTAAGCCCCACTGGATTTAGTGGAACATGACCTTCAGTGATGATGTATAGGTTTGTGCTGTCAGCCCACAACCTTACATATGCTTAATTTGAAACAAGATCCATGGCAAACAGTGAGTTTTGATTTCCAAAGAAACATGCATAAGGATGTGTTGTTAAAAGCTAAGTACAGTTCTGATGTTAAAATTTCCGGTTATGGGAGAGGTCACTGGGCCACCAAACCTGTAACAGAAATTAAAACTGAAAAGTATTATCAGAATAACTTTGCAAGATAGGAACAGCCAGGATTCCCCAAAGGAGATCAGTGGTGTTGCAGTTTGAAATGATTTTTTTAAGTTAATTACTATCCTTTTAAACAAATAAATAAATATGAGTGGACACTACCAGATTATTTCTGAAGACTGAGGACAAGAGATTTGCCCTTTAATGCAAGAGTGGGGAACACGTGGTCCTCCAGTTGATGCTGGACTACAACTCCCATAAGCCCCAGCCAGCACAGTCAATGATTAGGAATGATAGGAGCTGCAATCTGATTGGGACCCTATGGGTCATCAAACAAACCATACCTGGAGGACTGCCCATTACTCAACCCTGCTTTAATGGTTCAATTTAGGAAGGTAGCGCTGGAGGGGAGATGGGGTCGGACAAGAGAATCACATATTTCTCTCCTCTCCCATTTTACACAATAATCTTAGAATTGCAGAGCTGGAAGGGACCCTATGGGTCATCAGCTCCAGCACTATCCCTGTTCCTGAGAAAGACAGAGATCTTGGATTACATTCTAGAATAATAAAAAGACGATTACAATAAATTATCAAATATATGGCTGCTTTTTCCCCACTCACCCACCCACTTCCCCCCTTTTTTGTGTGCAATAGAATATATATCCAAGAACAGACCACTCAACTTTCCTGCAGATGTTCTTCCCTCCCTGCACCTCGCTTCTAAAAAACAACAACACCTGAAATGGCACTGTTGCTGTTTCATTGCTGGAGAATAAGAGGCTGTCTTTTTCCACGAAAGGAAGGTGTTGTTTTGAGATATGGATTGAACATCAGCCTCTCAAGCCTATCCCCACTGGCTGTGCCCTCTCCTGTGGCAGTGGGTTGTGGGGGCCCTAATCCCATACATCTGGAGGGTGTTGGATGGAGAAGGCCGATATAAATGTTATCCTATACTTCCTTTGCCGTTAATCAGTTCAGGGTGCACTCCCTATCAAAATGGAAAGATAAAAAAAGCAGTACTATAATATCCAACCAAATTCTATATAAAAACAAGCTACGTTCTGCATAACCAAGCAAACCTGTTGGTTTCAGACAACCTGTTGTGCCCTGTTCATGTACAGCAGTTAAAGATCCTTCTCTCCTTCCTCCACCAAACTCTAAAAAGCTGGAACTACTGGAAAATCAGCAGTTGTCCAGATTCTGAGATGAACATTGTCCATGTTTTCAAGCATATCACCACCACCATAGACCAGTCAACAGATTGGAGGTTGAAGTGAAACTCATTGGCTTTAACTGGCCCTGTAGGATTACAAGGGATGGGGCAGGGATTGTGAACAGTAACATGTGTAAGTCCTTGTGTAAGGTCTTACAGACACACAACAATAACTAGTTTGTTCACTTGAAATAGTGCTATAATTAACTGAAGCACAAAAAACCCTGTCTAAGCAGTAGAATTCCGTGTTGCTCAGTGGTGGAGTACATGCTTTTATCTACAGTATCTATCTATCTATCTATCTATCTATCTATCTATCTATCTATCTATCTATCTATCTATCTATCTATCTATCTATCTATCTATCTATCTATCTATCTATCTATCTATTTAATTAAGTAATGGATTTTTTTATCCCACCCTTCTAGACAGGTCTACTCAGGGCAGCTCATGGTATATTGTGCATAAACAAGTTAAAAACAACAATTAAAATCTACAATAATACAATAATCAAGATGGGAATAAAGAGAAAAATCAAGAAAAGTAAAAGTAAAGTAATGGCAGGAGGCAAGGCTTGCCTAAAGAGCCAGGTTTTTAATTGGCTCTTGAAAACATCCAGCGAGGGTGCCAGGCGAATCTCTGGCAGCAAGCTTTTCCAGTCGAGGGGCCACCACCGAGAAGGCCTAGTTTCTTGTTCTTTTTTTCCAGGCCTCTCTCAGCGTCAGGCCCCTCAGCTGGCTTTCCTGGCTATGGCGAGCAACTCGAGTAGACCTAGGTGGGAGAAGGCGGTCTGCCAAGTATCGAGGTCCTAAACCGTTTAGGGCTTTGTATGTCACCAATAACACTTTGAAGTCAATGTGGAAACGCTGGGTTCAGTCTCTCATAGAGCTTGGCAAGACTCCTTTTTGAAATCCTGGGGAGCTCCTACCAATACAAAGGTACATAGTTGGACCAAGAGTCTGACTCAAACAAATCAACTTCCTCTGGAGGTTTTGCAGCACCTGATGAGGAAAGTGTGTGACTTGGTGGTACAGCCCATGCTTTGCTTTCAGAAGCCCCAGGTTCAGTTACTGGTGTCTCCATTCAGGAAAAAAACTCCCCTCTGACAATCAAAGTATACAACACAAATAGTATGTTGTTAGAAGTGAGACTCCTTATGTACCCAAAGACATCTGGTACCCATAGCAGGCACTTTCCTCATCTCTTGTATCTTGCAAATTAGCTTACTTTGCTTTGTGACTGGCCATTGGGAGGGCTTCATTCACAACTCACAGCTTAGGCATGAAGCTCAGAAGGTATCATATCACTGGCACACTAATGTGCTTTCAGATTGTAAGAACACACTATCTGTGTTGTACAGTTTGCCCCTAAGACCCAGAAAATCCACTGCCAGTTTTGGCAAACACCATAGAACTAGATGGACCAATAATGTGGGTATCCCCCATGTTTAAAGCTTCCATCTATGTTTTCCCATCACTTATTACAGTGGTGCCTCACTTAACGACAATAATCCATTCCAGGAAAATCGCAGTTAAGCGAAAACATTGTAGAGCGAAATAAAAAAAACCCCATTGAAATGCATTGAAACCTGTTCAATGCGTTCCAATGGGGTAAAAACTCACCGTCCAGTGAAGATCCTCCATACAGCAGCCATTTTAACTGCCTGTATAGTGAGGAATCCGTCCCTAAACACAGCGGGGAGCCATTTTAATTACCCAGCGACCATTTTGAAACCACCGATCAGCTGTTAGAAAAACGTCGTTTTGTGAAAAATTCGTTCCTGAAGCAGGGAACCGATCATTGCAAAGTGAAATTCCCCCATTTAGACCATCATTTTGCAATCACAAAAGCGATCGTTAAGCGGATTCATCGTAATGCGGGGCAATTGCAGAGCGAGGCACCACTGTATCTGTAGCTTCTATTCACACAGAGAGACACAAATTAAGGAGGGGAAAATAAAATAGTTGGGTGTCTAGTTGGGAAGCTTCCTTTATCATCCTTGCTTTTTCTTTTTCTTTGCCAAGGATGTTCCAGGCTTTGAGTTATCCTCTCAGAAACCAAGAAATGTTGCAGAATGACAAAACCTCAAAGCACCACAAAGTCCTGGAGAAATCACGCTCTTACAAGCTTTTATTAAGAAGTCAGGATCACAGGTCTTCACTCCAGACAACATCCTGCACGTTGCTATCGTCCTTCCTTCCCCTCCCTCCCTTCCCCATCCCACCAAGGGTCCAGCAACACAAAAGTCACACAGCAACACAAAAAGGGCACAGCAAGAACACAGAGAATTCATTCTTCAGCCAGGGGAAGAGAAGGAGAAACGAGCAAATAGATAACTACACATCCACATTCACTCTGTTAAGAGTGTGCATTGGACTGGGCAGAAAAGGAAATTGAAAGACAATATCTTTTCCAGGTTTTCCAGCTGCCAACATCTCCAATTGCCTGGGCAATAATTCCCACTGGTATTGTGCAAAGGGCCCGAGGTCTGCTTTGAAAAGCTGCTCTCCAGAGACCCAGATCTGGCTTCAGACCTGACCTTCCTAAAGGAACCAGATGTGTCTGCTACGAGAAACTGGTTTAAACCTATGTTGAGGTTCACAGCAATCTCATTATGGCTCTCAGAACCAATCATGGGGCCTGTTGACTCAGCTCGTACCGGAAGAGACCCTTCTGCTTTTGGAAGATCCCGGGATCGAAAGGATGATGTGCGTAGCTGTTAAGTTTCTCTTTGGCTTACAGAAGGGGTCGGAAACTTTTTGTCCTCTGGATGTTTGGCCTTCAGCTTTCATCAGCAATAATCATCACAACTAATA